AAAGATCAGAGTACAGTCCTAATATTAGCCTCTTCTTCAGTTTCCTCTGCTTGATATTATTTTAAGCACATTTCAGGTTCTCAACAGTCTTCAGTCATGACAAAGACTCAATGCCACGGGTCTGGACTGGAAAAGAGGATATTAGAGCAATCACAAAAGATGCTCGAGCAGAGGTAACTTCTTAGAATAATGGCGAACGGGGCTTAGTGTTGTCAACTCACTCTATCTGTTGCTATCCTGCAGGCTTTAAGTCTTTTATCTGTGATGGCTGCAATACGTTTGGATGAAAGACCCGACAATATTGAGAGTACTCTTTTCTCTTCTCTCATGGATGGAACTGTATCAGTCTCATCTTCCCACAACAGAAGCTTAGGAACTTCCACGGATCCACTTGCATCTAGCTCATGGGAAGAGGTAAACAGTCTAGTCAAGTGGTCTCTTGTATAATCTGGTTGATAAGTATGACTGTTATTGGGACATCACACTAAATGGAATGCAAAGTAATCCAAATTAGTCCACTTTACCAGAAATTCTTTCATTCCGCCATAATTAGGACATATTTGGCTCATTAGATGCCAATACCGATGCCACTTCCAGTCTAGTCAAATGAATTACCAATGCTATGGTTTTTGTGTGTGCAGGTTCCTCCAAAAAACGTGTTACTGACGCCAGTACAGTGTAAGTCACTGTGGAGACAGTTTAAATCTGAGACAGAGTATTCTGTAACCCAAGCTATTTCGGCACAGGTGATTTTTCAAATTAACCTTGTAGTTTATGTGTTAGAATTATAATTGAGTCAATGGTATGTTTACATTTTTACTCTTCAGGAGGCTCACAAGCGAAATAATAACTGGCTTCCACCGGCTTGGGCAATTGTGTTGATGATTGTCCTTGGTTTCAATGAATTCATGATGCTTTTGAAGTAATATCAATTTCCTTGCACTCCTTTACTATTCATTGAAAGATTCTTCATAAGTGTTTCAGCTATTTAGATTCATTGGCATGTTTCATCATCTTATTGGAACAGGAATCCTTTGTACCTCTTGGGTTTCTTCGTGGCGTTTTTACTCTCCAAAGCCTTATGGGTGCAGCTTGACATTCCGAGGGAATTTCAACACGGCGCAGTATGTTCTTGCTAAGCTTCCATGGTTCTAAACACAATTATTTTTAGGATACATTATCGTAACACCATGTTTCCTGCATCTGTTAGGTTGCTGGAGTACTCTCCATCACGTCAAAGTTCCTTCCAACTGTTATGAATCTTCTAAGAAAGCTTGCGGAAGAAGCGCAAGGAAAAACAACTCAGGAAGGTGAATACTCAGCTTCCCAAAGCTACAGACAGCAATCTCCATCACACTCCATCTCAAGCACAATATCTGAATCTGTCGCATCAAACATATCATCTGCTGGTGATGATGCAGAATACTCAAGCCCAAGCCCGGATCTGGTTCGGAGACGAAACACCAACAATGTACAAGAATCAGAGATCTCTCAACTGTAAACCAACTAGAAGTGTAAGATTTACCGTAGAACAAGTCATGTTGGTTCTGACAATCTTCTCCAAGAAAATCGTACTATAGTTATATATATATAGGTAGTGTCTTGACTTGAAAACGAAATAATAATGTATCATTTTGAATATAACCTTGAATAAAGAAGTAGCTCAAGTTATTTGATTCTTGGATAAGCTTTCCAAAGAACCAAATTATGTTTCCTTGAAGGCTTGAACTCATTGGACCAGAAAAAATGCAGATCGTTGGACATTAAGTATTGAGTAAAGGTTTGCTGATGTTTGAAAACTAACCACACCAGTTCATTATAAAGAATCAAGTTGTACAACATGTAGCTATAGTTACATATATCAAGTCGAAAACTTCACAAAAACTTCAAGAAGTGAGCAAATAACTCGACAGTATTTCCAGATTCTGATTTTTAGACAACTTTCTTGATTTGTTTCTTCAAGACTTGATCTTGTGCCTAAGTTTTGGGATTGTTAGGTCTGCACCTCCAAACCCATCCATTACACCTTTCGCCGATGGAAACTCACCTCTTGCAGTTAAACTTCAAGCAAAAAGAATGGTAAAGAAAACGAGCAAATGAACAATGCTCCACAGAAGCACCTTTCAGGCTTTAGTTCTATAGAGTACGCCAAAAAAAGTTCCAAAAATAGACATCAGAAACCGAATATCATACCTGCTTCGCATGACTACACACGGCATGCCTATCATCTTTGCAGCAGAAACTCCAGGTTGGCTACCAGCAACAAGTACACAGTTTTTTACAGGTAATCCTATGTGTTCCGCAGCTGCACGCAATGCAACAACAATCTTTTCCAATCTGGAGATAATAAAACAGAAAATGAGAAGACATCACTTTCTTGTCAATGTATGGAATTGGAGTTTTTGTAGAGAAGAACAGAAAGTCCCACCTCTCAGATGAGGTTGTGTCAATGTCAACACTTAGCTTTAGCATTGATGCAACTTCTTCTGCTATCCTCTGTTTCTCGGCGGACGCTAGTCAGACAAAAATCAAGAGGAGAAATTTACTATAGTTACAAGGGAAGATCTTAGATAGAGAAAAGGATTTGCAAATTGTCTCCGAGCTCTATACCTGCTTTTTTGACTTCCTTCACTAGTTGCTCCTCTAGACTTGAAGAAACTCCTTTGCCAAGAACAAGTTGTCCATACATACTCTGTTCTACCTCATTTTCTCCGATAACCTTCACATTTGGAAGTCTTTCTTGGCCAAGCATCTCGACAATGGATCTGTTAAATAATATTTATTCAAAAAAAAAAGATAAGAAACAATCAAAAGCTTGTTTAGAAATAACAGAAAAAAAAAATCTAACGTAGGATTTTGTTTATGCTAATAGATTGTTTTGTAGAGTTTCCTCACCAGTACTACTTTTCACCTTGCATTTGTTGGTCTTTCTAATATGTGAGATTATACGATCACAAAAAGAAAACAATATGAAACCTCAAGATTCTAAAGCACTAGAGCTACTGTTGTTTCCAACAAATGAAACCTTTGAGAATTTCACGGACTGTATCAAAATCATATGCATGTGAACCCTAGCGATCTCCAGGAGAACTGGCATTTGTGCATCTTTCAGCAACCAGAACTAAAGACATGATATGTATAGGAATAGGACAATCATTTTTATTAAATTGCAGAAAGAATATTCTTTAGGAGCTTAACTACTTACAGGGCTACTTTGTCTCCACTCTTGCAGTAGGCTGTTACGATAGCAACAGGTACTCTCTCTGTGTATGCATTATCGATAAACCTACAGCTCAAAAAGGTAAAAAAAAATTGAATTTACAACTTACAAGTACAAGAAAAAAATCTAAAGTTCTTTGCTTCAGTTTGAAAGAGATATCTACGAGACTCACTCTTGCACTCCAGATCTCAGAGGTAAGCTTTTCGACATCAGAAACTCATCCATTGCATTTTTCTGACAACAAACAAGCTGGAGTTAACCAATTGATGGAGTTATCAAACCTTAACTTCCAAGAGAATATATTTAGCTGAAAAAAACATCATTTTCAAGTGTGCATGCAACCTTTTCTCGCAATACACTTTTTACAAAACTTGCTTTCTCACTGGTTGGCAAGGACGATGGCCAACCAATCTGAAAAGAGGTAGATAAACAAGCGAGTAAAAAGGAAGCTGTCAGATTTTGATAACTGTGTGGGCGCATTTCGGTAATGATGTTTACGCAAAAAATTGATAACTTACCTGGTTAAAATACAAAAGCAACATTTTCTCTTCATCGGCAGCACCCTTTCTGGTAAAATCAACTAAACACTTTCAGACAACGAAATGCAATTGTAAAATGAACTCAATCTAATCGTCTAATCATACCAACAGCAATCGAAGGGGAAATAGCCATCGATTATGAACGGAAGCATAAACAGTTTGAATGGAACAAAATCATCAACTTAGTACCTAATAGACTACTAAGAGAATTAGAGTTTTTAAATCCCTAGAAACAGAATCTAAGAGATGGAAAGGGAGATGAATGGAAACAAATAGATTCTTCAAGGTCACAGATAGATGAATTATAAACCAATTGCAACAAAATAATCAATTCTTAAGTATTTCAAAGTAAACTTCAATGAATAAAAAACCAACCGGAAAACACAAGTCACAAACTTAAATATATACCTCAACAAGTCTGAATAAACTGGTTCAGGCCAATTTGCACAATCAAGCCCAAGCTTTTGAAAAGCTGGTATCCACAATAAGAAGCAACAACATGAGAAACAAGAAAAATAATCACTGAGCACAAAACAGGTCTATAAGAAGGGTGATTTTAAGTCGCACCTACATTGAACGCTTGGCGATTACTTGACCATGTATCAATCATAACCCTGAAAATAGAAAGAACCAAACAAAAAAAATTCAAAAGTTACCAAGAACTTGCTCGTACTCATAACAATCTCATCAGAAAGTTTGAAGCTTTTTCTGAATCGGAACTTACCCATCAACTTCAAGTATCACAGCGAGTTCTTCGGATGGGTTTACGTCTTCTCGGCTCGCTGATAAGCAAATCGAAGAGAATCTCTGCAATCGCAAGCATTTTCCGAGAATCTGGGATTTTCCAGGGAAATTGGAAAAAGACAAGAAATTGCGTCTTCCAGTGTCGTGTGAAGACGGCTCGCTCAAGTACTGAGTGAAAAGAGAAGTCTTTGTACAAGAAAGTTGAAGATTGTCAAGAATCGAACAAGAAGCGATTTCCATGGCTATGTATGTTCTCTGGTTTCTCTGCCGAAAACGTCTCTGATTATTATTAAAAAATAAAGCACACAACTTTAAACTTTCGTCGTTCTCTAGATACAGTAAAATATAAAGTAAAGATTTCAACTTTTTGTGGTGATGATTTCTTATCTTCTTCTCCTTCTAATTGTTTTAATCGAAATGTGTTACTTTACCAAATCCACATTATTGAAATCGTTTTTATCCTTACGAATCAAATGGAACTTCTGAGATGGGTATAATACATAAGAACATAATTCATTCAAGTACATAAAATTCACTTCAATACCGTACAAGATTTCTCTTTTACATTGTATATAACTTAGAAAGACATTGTAATAACAAAATTCTGGAGAAGACACATTAATGTAAAACACTGCTGTAACAAAAAAGTTATCAAGGGTGAAGCTGACTTAACCACAATCTATACTTCCTATGACCATAGTGGAGGAAACTTTTTTCCTAATGAGATGTATACTAGAAAATGGAAGCAAGTGAAAGTATGAAACTTGCGAACAAAAAAAAAAAAAAATTGAAAGTATGAAGTTGCCTACCGGAATCAAATGAAAGTATGAAACTTGCGCACAAAAAAAATAAAAATAGAAATGCAAGTATGAAGTTGCCTAGTGGAATCAAACCGTTGCCTGGCTTTAGAGTAGCAAAAAAAAAAAAGCAGGTGATAATGCATACGTTAAATTCCCTAGCATGGAGTACTTTATTGGAAAGAAAACCTAATTAGGCTTCTCAACATCCTTTTAGGATGATGAGTCCTCGTTCAAGCCGTTGGATTGTGCAAAAATGCCACAAATAGAGATATATAATCAACATAAAATACACTGAGCATTGGTTCCAACGACTGAACCGACCCATGCAGAAGTCAAGTTCACATGGTTGGGGCATCAAAGTGCCAAAGGTCTTTATTAAAAAGACCATAAGATGGAATATAAAGAGTAGCAGTTTTAATAATCATTACCTCTTCTTATGAATGGTTATTCTCTTGTGAGTGTCTTCTGTGCTCTCTATCACCATGATGACTACTACCTCTGCTCGTTTTGTTGTGGTGGCCTTCTTCACCATTCTCACTATTGTGGCGTCTCTTTCCTTCTGACTGCTTTTCAGGAGGGCTTCCCATTTTTCTCTTTCTGCTATGCATCATCGGGGACACATCGTTTACCATTTCGCCTTCCTCTGTATTTTTGACTTCTCCTTTAACATCTAGAATCTCACCATGTTCTGTACCCATGAGATCAGAGTTCTCGGTTTTTGGCCTGTTCTCTACTTTCCTTTCCTTCGTCTTTTCATCCTCAACAGCTAGTTCCACATCTTCCAATTCTCTTTCAATCAAATCATCCTCATCCATCAAATCCTTTTTCCTCGTCCTTTCACCTAGTAACTTTTTAGCTTTCTCTCGTTTAGCCTTCACCTTATCTCGAAGCAATTTTAAGTCTTTTGGCGATTGGCTGATTGGGGCATCACCCACATCAACATTTCTAGATTTATGAACAGCACCATCATCTTGAATCTCTCCACCCTCTCTTTCTGAGTTGTCTTTCGCAGGTCCCTCAACTAAAGGTCTAGAGTTATGGGGGGCTTCTCTTACATTGTCCTTATGGGGTGGATGACTTTCAGGATGTAGGCTGCTTTCTTTTGTTTCTCTCTCTATCTCCTCTTTGTGATCGACACTGACATTAGCTGCCTCACCAGCCCCATTTTCATTATTCTGATTCAATACTCCTTTCGATGAATGATTATCAGAATTTGAATTTTCATGGGTTGAACGTACTGATGTTTGCCTAGAACCAACATGCTCATCGGTTGAAACTGCATTTCTGGAGCCTGGCCGCTGAGCTGACCCTCCACCTACACTACTTTCGACTTCGCTTACTTGAGATGCAGGGACACGGTTTTGCTCATAAAGCTCAAGCATTTGGTTGCTAACATCTGAGACATACAAAAGGCAATGGCTCTTGAAATCATATCCAAAAAGGAAATGAAAGTCAATCAAGGATACAAGAGTTGTCAAATCAATTTCATCATGTACATACCCTCCAATTGTCGGGGTGTGACGTCAAATTCTTGCCACCAAACCTTCTCCCCATCTGATGGTAACTTCACTTTAAGGAACTTGGCCGCAAGAAATATTGCACCAGCCGCAATATGATGAGGCTTAAATTGCAGGCAGAGAGATGTCCGAAGACTGCAAGCCACTTTTCATTGTATGAAGACGAAAATACAAGGCACATAGAATTATTGGAAGCTTTAGAAGGAAATAGTTCTTGAACGTACCCATCATTAACAAAATTCCATGCAACTTGGGCGAGAGCATTCTGTGCAACCTTAAATTTCTTTATAGCTTCTACAAGGGGTTTATAAGGATGATGAACATTGAGGTCAAAGCCTAAAGTAGAAAGAACAATTTTTTCTCCGTTTAATATAAGCTCTTTTTGTTGCTCATATACTTCCTGCAAAATTGATATACGTCAGTATGCATTTTGACATGCTGACCAACAGAAAATAAATCAGGACCAAAGGATCAAGGTTCTACAAAACATACAAGCAAAGTCTTTAGCTTATAATAAAACCTCAATGTCAAATAAAATAGAAGATATGTGGAAAAGACGATACATTCATTTATAAATAGCTAAACGGAGGCAAGAGATTTGAGAAGCTTCAGTAGTAAGATGAATACCTTTTGCTTGATTTTCTGTGAAGCACCAGGATCCTTCTTGTTTATTATCTCATAGGAGACAAAAATAACATCTTTCAAGGGCCGTGGGGTTTCCTCAACCTTTCCAGCAAGGAACATGCATACAGTTGCAATAGTCTGTGGAAACAGCATGAAGAGAGGGCTCAGTAAAGATCTAAGTATTTTCTCCGCTCTAGAAGAATAAATCAGTACCAACAATCACAATTCATTAATCCTACGTAGAATAAGTAAAAAGAAAAAACCTATATCAAAGTGACAGCAAAACTATCAGTGAAATTAGAGTATTGAGCTCTCTAGAACTACCAAGAAAAATGGCAAGGAGATGGAGCCAAAATATATAAAAGAATAACAAGGAGCCAAGACATTTCGATACCTTGAATTCTACGCTAGCCAGACTACAGCATAGTGGTTCAAACAACACAGACTAAATTCATATTTTTTATAAGCATTCAACTTGTTCAGGTGTAAAACAATAAACTCACCCTTCTGTCATTCTTTGCATGTGATTGGCGAAAGAAGAATCGATGACAGAAGATTATCGCTGTAGCTATTGTAACCTGGGGACTGGTTGGAAAACTATATCAGCCACTTTCCAAGAGAAGCAAAAATTCAAAGCTTTGAAACAATGCAGAAACATGACTACAAGGAGAAAAACTCAGACTGTATGGCAGTAATGTCTTCACCACTAATAACTTTCTCTTCCTTGTATTCATGTCAAAGAAAGAAATAAACACAACTTTTACGACTTTCAGTTGGAACATGCTAGAACTAATATCAGTACAAAGGTATGCCTAAAACCATCAGCAGCACATCAAATTCCAATTATACAAAACCTATATGTAAAGGGGTAACTATTATCTGTCCACAATGATGATGGGACGGGTTGGACGAACTATAATGTCAAGAACTACCAAGCCAACTTGAATCAATTACATGAAAAATGCACAGAAGGGAATCTAAATGAGGTGAAAAAATAACTTACACTTTCAATCTCATGCCCAAGTCCTGCAAAAACGTACAGTAGGATTTGCGGAGGTACGTTTCCTTCTTTAAGTCAATACCATCTAACCTTGACGGTGAATTCTCTTCTATTTCTTTTCTTCCGAAATACCAGCGGGAAACCTCTTCTTGCTTTTCATGAGAATTCCTTGAGTGTGATGAAACTCCACTCTCACTGTAAGAACATTCCCCAGCTAGTACTCCAGCCATTAGTATCTTCTAAAACCAAAAACTATCCCAACCTACAAAAGCAAAGAACCAAAATGTGCATCACCTTACAATAGTATAAGCCTGAAACTCAACACTAGAAAGAACACAAATAAAGAGATCATTAAAAAAAAAACAGATTGATTCCCCAGAAACAAAGTTATGATCTTTATAATTGCATTAAACAGATAATCTTATAAGCTTTTAGAAAACTCTGACAACAGGAATCAACTGAGATTTCAAACAGATACACAGAAGGGCACAAAGGGGAAGAGACTGATTCGTAAATAGTGACATAGCGTCAAAGAAGCATAACCACATAGTCTAAAACGAGAGTCAAAGGGGATAAATCTTCTACAAGCTATGAACATGAATCATGCAAACGATGAATCTTTACGAATTGCAAATCATGGAATTGAACTTATCCGAACAACTTGATTAGGCAAAATTTTCATCGCCCATCAAATACATTCGATCAAAATCCCAAATTTTGCTCAAAACACAAACCGATACCTAGACATTTAGTAATTGGGGAGGAAAAAAAACAAGATCCAAAGGGTTTGTAGAACAATTAACCGAAAGATTGAAAATTTCGTTCACTTGACGGTGGACAAAAAAAGAAAACCCAAATCGAGAGAATAAGGAAATCGAAGACAGTAATCGAACAAGGGCAACAAAAAAGAAGGATACTTTACCTTACCTTCAATGGAATTAACTTCTCTAGTCGCGAATTGTAGAAGACGAAGAAGAATAACGCGTGAAATTCAACAAACCCTAACCCTAGAGAGTCGCGAGAAGAAGAAGAAGAAAAGCGGATAGGAAGTAATCGAGAGTTCTGATATTAAAAGCTGAGAGACCAGATTCACTTTTTTCCCTTTTTTCACATTAAAAGAATAAAATTAAATGATAATTGTTGTAAAACTTATTATTATCTCTATTAATGAACTTATTATTATCTCTATTAATGAATGAGGTTTGTTACATATATATACATAAAGAGAGGAGACAAATCCTTATTGGGCTAGTAAACCCTAAAGCCCAAAAGCCCACTAAGTATAAAATAGACCGTCATAAGGAGAGTCTTCTAGAACGTGGGCATGGGCCTTCTAGGACATGGACATGGGCCTTCTAAAATATGCATAAGGCCCACGGTTATGGAGTCCATCCAACATGTGATTTATAACACTCCCCCTTGGATGACATAACCGTGTAGATGCCAAAAGGATCTCAGTAATACGCTTGGGGGATGCTGCCTCATTAAAACCTTACCAGGAAAACCCATTGGGATAAAACCATGGTGAAGGAAAAAGAGTACAGCGCGTATTACTCCCCCTGATTTGGTCATCCCTGTAAGTCCTTAAGTCTCCGCATCCCAATCTGATGCGTGAGCTTCCTCAATGTTGATGTTGGTAACGCCTTAGTGAATAGGTCGGCTGAATTGTCACATGATTGGACTTGTACCACTCGAACTTCTCCATCCCTTTGCAAGTCATGCGTGAAGAAGAACTTTGGTAGAATGTGCTTCGTCCGATCTCCCTTGATGTAGCCGTCCTTGAGCTGAGCGATACAGGCTGCATTGTCCTCGTACATGACCGTTGGTCCCTTCTCTTCGTCCATGCCACAACCAGACCGTATGTGTTGAGTTATTGACCTTAACCACACACACTCACGGCTGGCCTCATGTATCGCCAAGATCTCCGCGTGGTTGGATGAAGTGGCTGAGATGGTTTGCTTCATCGAACGCCACAAAATCGCGGTTCCACCGTGTGTGAACACATAACCTGTTTGTGACTTACCATTATGCGGATCTGATAAATAACCTGCATCAGCAAAACCAACTAAACCTTCTTTGTTATGGTTAGTATAAAATAAACCCAAATCAACAGTTCCTTGTAAATAACGTAAAAGATGCTTAATTCCGTTCCAGTGCCTTTGGGTCGGACATGAGCTAAATCTCGATAGGAGGTTCACGGCAAAACAAATGTCTGGTCTAGTGTGGCTAGCCAAGTACATTAACGCTCCTATGGCACTGAGGTATGGCACTTCAGGACCGAGAACTTCTTCCTCGTCCTTCTTTGGACCGAATGGATCACTATCCAATCCGAGGCTTCTCACCACCATTGGGCTGCTCAATGGGTGGGCCTGGTCCATATTGAATCTCTTGAGTACTTTTTCAGTATATGCCTTTTGATGCACAAGGATTCCATTATTCACGTACTCAAGTTGCAATCCCAAACAGAATTTTGTCTTGCCTAGGTCTTTCATCTCGAATTCTTTCTTTAGATACTCGACTGTTTGGGCGATTTCCCCAGAGGTTCCAAGGATGTTCAAATCATCCACATATACTGCTATTATCACAAACCCTTTGTTTGCGAATTTCTTTATGAAGATACATGGACTGATGGGATCATTTTTATAACCTTCTCTGACTAGGTAATCGCTTAATCTATTGTACCACATGCGCCCACTTTGTTTCAGTCCATAAAGCGATTTGTTCAGCCTTATGCAGTATTGGTCCCGAGACACTTTCTTATCTTTATCTTTGAGCTCAATACCCTCTGGTAATCTCATATATAATTCATTATCCAGTGGACCATATAGATAAGCGGTCACAACATCCATTAACCGCAAATCAAGTTTTTCTCTTATTGCCAGACTTATTAAGAATCTAAAAGTCGTTGCATCCACCACAGGGGAGTATGTTTCTTCATAATCTATCCCCGGTCTTTGTGAGAATCCTTGTGCTACAAGCCGTGCCTTGTGTCTCACGATTTCATTATTTTTATTTCTCTTCCTTACAAAGACCCATTTATGTCCTACTGGTTTTATCTCAGATGGTGTCCTTAATGTCGGACCAAACACATCTCTTTTCTTTAATGAACTTAACTCCACGTTTATGGCTTCTTTCCATTTTGGCCAATCTGATCTTTGAGTGCACTCTAATATAGACGTGGGTTCATGATCCTCATTTATTTCAATTGCTACCTTATATGCAAATATTTCATCGATGTCGACATCTTTTCGGTTCCATTTTATTCCAGACATGATATAATTTATTGATTTCTCATTATCATCTATCCCTTCAGGACCATGAGGATTGGCGTCCCAAATCTCTCTATTCGGTTCCTTAGGGTCTGCCGCGGCCATGTCTATGGTTTCCTTCACCTCGTTTCCTACTGCACCTTTCTTTGATTTTCGAGGATTTTTATCTTTGGAACCTATTGGTCTACCACGTTTCTTACGTGCGTTAGACTCTGTAGCAATTTCATTGATTCCCTTTTGGATATCAATACGTACTGGTGCATTACAAGCTGGTATGTACGATTTTGTAACTTTCTTTGGGTCAACAAAGGAATCTGGCAATTCATTAGCTAGCTTTTGCAAATTTATTATTTTCTGGACCTCTGATTCGCATGCCAGAGTCCGAGGATCTTGCCAATTCAAGGATGTTTGATTCCATGATATTTCTTTTATATCTTTACCCAGCTTGTTCGTCTCTCCACCTAAAGTAGGAAATTCGGATTCATTAAAATGACAATCCGCGTATCTAGCCTTAAATAGATCACCCGTAGTTGGCTCTAGATACTTGATAATGGTGGGAGAATCAAATCCAACATATATTCCCATCCTCCTTTGAGGTCCCATCTTTGTTCTATGTGGTGGAGCAATCGGTACATATACGGCACACCCGAAAGTCTTTAAATGGGATATGTCTGGCTCATGACCCATGAGTAATTGGGATGGTGAATATCTATGTTCACTAGATGGCCTTATGCGTATAAGTTCTGATGCATGTAAAACAGCGTGTCCCCAAGCGGCTACTGGGAGCTTCGACCTCATGAGTAATGGTCGAGCTATCAATTGAATTCGTTTAATGAAGGATTCCGCTAATCCATTCTGTGTATGTACATGTGCTACGGGATGTTCCACACTTACCCCCATGGACATACAGTAGTCATTAAACGCTTGGGACGTGAATTCACCGGCATTGTCTAGACGTATAGTCTTAAGCGGAAAATCTGGAAAGTGGGCTCGCAGTCTTATAATCTGGGCCAATAACCTAGCAAACGCTTGGTTTCTAGTGGATAGGAGACAAACATGTGACCATCTTGTCGACGCGTCAATGAGAACCATAAAGTATCTAAACGTCCCACATGGTGGGTGTATTGGTCCACATATATCTCCTTGTATCCTTTCCAGAAAACTTAAGGTCTCTTTATTTACCTTAGCCGGTGACGGCCTTATAATAAGTTTCCCTTGTGAACATGCTTCACACGTGAGATTCGGGATAACTCTTTTCTCTTTTAGGGTGTGCCCCTTTGAATTAGTCATTAATTTACGCATCATATTTTGACCCGGATGGCCAAGCCGGTCATGCCATAAAGTGAATTTCTCGATGAACTCTTTGTTCATTGCCATATTAGCTTCGATCATATCGATTTTAGCATAGTAGAGACCAGTGGATAATGCGGGTATAGTCTCTAGAACTTTCTTATGTCCTTGGGTGATCTCAATTATATTTAGGAATTCTTTGTTCCCTTCACCCTTTGTTTCAATATGGAAACCGTTCAATCTTATATCTTTGAAACTTAACAAGCTCCTCTTTGAGCTGGGTGAATATAGGGCATCGCTTATTTCAAGATGCGTGCCCTTTGATAAAAGGATATGGGCTTGACCGTGGCCCTCAATGAGACTAGCTATACCCGCTATGGTGCTAATATTGGCATTTTTCAATGTTAGATTTATAAAGTATCTTTTGTCTTTTAAAATTGTGTGGCTCGATCCACTATCCACCACAAGTATATTCTTGTCATCGGCCATTTCTAATATTGACAAGAAAATATGTCTCAGATAATAAAGCAAACAATTATATTAAAAGCAAATTAAACTTAAATTTAAATCCAAGACATAATAGTATTCAAAAACATAGAATAGAATTCAAAGACATAGAGCATGAAAAACATAAAGCAAATTAAAGCAAATTAAAACACAAGATGTCGAATTTAATTTTCCTCTCTTAAGCAATCCGAAGTCTCATACTCCAATTGGTCATCGTTCTCATGGTCGAAATCTCCATCACCATCGAGATGAGCCAAATTGGCTTCGGGATTCTTCTTTATCATTTCTTGATAAGCATCGATTAGATGTTTAGATGTCCTGCACGTCTTAGCCCAATGATTGTCCATTCCGCATCTATGGCAAACGGATTTGGCCTTGTGTTGCGGTTTGGAGATTCCGCGGCCACGACCTCGACCATTGTTCCCGCGGCCTCTACCACCATGGTGGTTTCCTCGGCCGTAGGAGTTATGGTTGCTGCGACCACCACCACGTCCTCTACCACGGCCACGACCGTGATACCCTCTATGGACGTAGTTGGTTTCTTTGGTCTCTCGAGGTTCTTTGGCTATTTCGGCCTTATGGGCTTCCGGCAACGGTGTGGATCCTGGAGGTCTCATTGAGCTATTCATTAGTAATAGCTCATTATTCTTTTCAGCAAGGAGTAAGCAGGAGATCAAACTTGCATATGTTTTGAATTTCATTCCACGGTATTGTTGCTGAAGTACCACATTATTAGGGTGGAATGTTGAGTATGTTTTCTCAAGCAAGGTATCATCAGTCACCTTTTCACCACATAGCCTCAGGATTGAGACAATCTTAAAAAGCTCGGAGTTATACTCCTCCACGGATTTGAAATCCTGGATCCTGAGGTTTTTCCAATCATATTGGGCTTTCGGTAAGAGTACCGTCTTTTGGTGATCGTATCGATTTTTCAACTCGACCCAAAGGTCGAGAGGATCTTCGATAGTAAGGTACTGATTCTTAAGGCTCTCTGCTAGGTGATGGCGTATAAACGCAATCGCCTTAAACTT